CATGACTAGTAAATTCTCATTTAACAAGAGAAAACAAATGGCACAGTCAAAACATCAACTCTAATAAACATTTAATAGAGACCAAAGAGATGGCTCAGCAGTATAGAGCACTTGTAGCTCTTACAGTGGGCCCACATTTGATTCCAAACACCCACATGGTAGATAGAATACAACAATCTGTAACTCCCATTCCAAGGGATCTGATGCCCTTATAACCTCCACAGGCACCAGCATGCAGTTGTTGCACAAATACACACACACACACACACACACACATACACACACACACATATACATATATACACATAGGCAGTCAAAACACAATTTTTAAGAAGACCATTTAGCCAGGAATCTACAAGGACTACCCCAGATTAGACTAGTAGCATAGTGGAGAGAGTGCCTGAACTGGCTTACCCCAGTAATCAGATTGGTGAATACCCTAAGTATCATCATAGAGCCTTCATCCAGTAACTGATGGAAGTAGATGCAGAGATCCACAACCAAGCACCAGGCTAAGCCCTGGGAGCTCAGTTGAAGAGAGGGAAGAGGAACTATATGAGCACGAGGATTCAAGATCATGATGGGGTAATCTACAGAGACAATTGAACCAAGCACATAGGAATTTATGAACTTTAGACTGACAGCTATGGAACTTGCATGGGACTGGACTAGGCTCTCTGCATATGGGAGAGAGTTGTGTAGCTTAGTCTGTTTGAGGGGCCTCTGGCAGTGGGATCCATCCCTGGTGCATGAGCTGGCTTTCTGGAGCCCATTACCTATGATCGGACACCTTGCTCACCATGCAGGGGGAAGGAGCTTGGTCTAGCCTCAACTGAATGTACCAGGCTTTGCTGACTCCCCATGAGAGGCCTGGAGGGATGGGGGTGGGTCATGGGGATGAGGTTAGGAGGGAGGAAGAGGAAGGATGAGAGAGGGATCTGTGGTTGGTATGTAAAATGAATAAAAAATTTTTAAATAAAAAAATGATTAAAAAAACAAAACATTTAGTCAGGCTGGAGACATGGCTCAGAGGTTTAGAGCATTGGCTGCTCTACCAGAGGTCCAGAGTTCAATTCCACATGGTAGCTCACAACTATCTACAATGAGATCTGGTGCCCTCTTCTGGCATGCAGGAAGAATACTGTATACATAATAAATAAATAAAATCTAAAAAAAAAAAAAAAAAAAGAAGAACATTTAGTAAAGGGTTTATTTGCAGATACGTGTTCAGAATTCAAACCACCAGTGATGAGCAAGCACTCAGGGAAATTATCACCCTTAAGTCTGAAAGGTAAGAAGGCATGTTGTTAGCTGAAAGCTAGAGCGTTTCAGCAACATAAGAAAGGCTGCTAGCTACACAGAAGTAGCAAAACAAAGGCCCAGGAATGGGACAGATCTCACTTATTGGTGCCAATGGTTCAAATCTAGAAAGAAGTTCCAGGAAATCTGTCTCTAGAAGATAGATTCTGAGTTGCTAGACAGAGATAGAGGGCAATCAGCACAGAACCAGTACCACATACATTTCCTGATCTTCAGTTGCTCCACATGCAGCTCACCAGAGTTCAAGAACAGGTTACTGACCCAGATGATACAGCCATAGTTAAACTATTATCATTAAGCACTTATTATCATTAAGTGCTATTGAACTTCTTAAGAGCCTAGAAGCTTAAAATATGTGATAAGTGTTTTGGTCCTAAACAATTTTTTTAAAAAAAAAATCTTAAAACATTTTTATATTTTCCCACAGAGCCTCTCTTCCCAGAACTGTTCTTCTATTCAAATTAATTATAAATTTATACTCTGCATTACTTCATGCCCCTTCATCTTCTAACATATATCTTTGACCAGCTAACATGCTGCCACTCTTTGTTCCTGTGTATTATCTCTTTCTTTGTAGGTGTTTCAAAATGGTTCAATTGATGTCTGGTTTTCACCAGTGTGGTGTGCATTACTGAGATTTTCCATGTACTTCGCCTTGGGTTTGTTGAGCATCCTGTGGGGTTAGTTTTTTTTTTTTTTTTTTTTTTTTTTTATCATGCTTAGAACACTTTCAGCTCTTCCTCAAATAATTATTAAGTTTTTGAGATACAGTCACTATCCTCCTGTCCTATCTGACAAAGGGCTAAGATTATCTGGCTGACAACACTTTTTCCCCCTCATTAGCAGTACAGGCAATTGAACCAGTGTCTTATTCATGCCAGATAAATGCTACATCACCTGGTTTATATACCAGCCTTCAAATGCACTTTTGTTTGTTTGTTTTCTCTTTTTGTATATCATTGGAATAATTTTTACTTATCAAGTTCACTGATTTTCAATGTTTAAACTGCTCTTAATTCTACCAAGCATTAAAAAAAAGTTCAGTAATGTTTTGATCCCTATTAGTCTCATTTGAACCTTTAGAAAGTTTTATATATGACTAGGCTGGCCTCAAACTCAGAAATCCTCCAGCCTCTGTATCCCAAGTGTTGGTACCACCATGCCCAGCATTTTCTTGAGTATTTGAATGCCAGATGATTTTTTATGTCAAACATTGTGGACCAGGAGCTTTAAAGTAGGAATAATTAGCTCTAATACTGAATCGTCCATCTGCTACACACTGCCCATACTTTCCAAGTTGTTTCACCTCTGACTGGTAGGAACCTATTTCCAGTCTTCGATGAGGTCCAGAAGCCACTAATCTACTGTTTTCCATCCTGTGCTTTCTATCCTGGCATCAGGATGTTTCCTTTATCAGACAGATGTGCAAACTTTGATTAAGCCAAAGGACTCAAGGGAAATCCTTCAGATTTCTGACGCCCCACCACTTCGAAGTTCCATCTCCTCTAGGACTTCTTTGGAAACTATTGATACTGTGAGCTCACCCAAAGTCAAGCTTGTCTTTTTAGTTCAGTAGAATTTAGTTTGGTTCCATTCCTGAACACCTGGAAATTGCTACCAGGCAGTAAGCTGGGTAATAAAGTGCACCTCCATTTGCCTGTCTATAATGGGACTACTAACCTGTGTTTATTTTATGTCCAAGTCATTGTTACTGAAGAGATGAACTCAACTTAAGTGCCTGAACAGAACATTAACAGAAAAAGTAAATGTGGTATGTGTACACAGGAGTATTATTCATCCACCAAAGAGAGAATTTCTGTCATTTTTAGCAATATAGATAGAATTCAAGGAAATTATATGAAATGAAATAAGACCAACAATGAAAGATAAACATTGCATACGGATTTTAAACACTAATAATGATTTTAAAGAAGAAAATAAATGTTATTACTAGAGCCTTGGGAGGATTTGGAAAGAGAGTGGGTAGATAGTTAATGAGTCCAGGTGTGCAGCTATATAGAATAACTTCAAATAACAGCATAGCAATGTAACTGCATAAAAGTAAACCAAGTATTCAAAAATAGCTAATAGAAGCTAAGTATAATGGTACATGCCTTTAATCCCAGCACTCAGCAGATAGAGGCAGACATATCAGTGTGAGTTCAAAGCCAGTCTAGACTACATAGAGAGTTCCAGGACAGACAAGGATACATAGTGAGACCTTTGTCTCAACAACAACCCAACGCTAATAGAGAGGATTCTGAATATTTCTAACAGAGAAATGATAAATATATGAAGTAATACATATTAAACCAATTACCCAGATCTGATAATTGCACATTATGTATGTGTACTGAAATGCCATACTATACCCCACAAATACATAAATCTTCTAGATGGCAATTAAAAACATTAAAGTAGTGGGCTGGAGAGATGGCTTGGAGGTTAAAAGCATGGGCTGCTCTTCCAGAGGTCCTGAGTTCAATCCCCAGCAACCACATGGTGGCTCACAACCATCTATAATGAGGTCTGGTGCCCTCTTCTGGCCTGCGAGCATACATGCAGGCAGAACACTGTATACATAATAAATAAATTTATATAAAACAAAACAAAAAACATTAAAGTAAAAACATTTCACATATATTTACAGTTTCTAGTTGTTTAAGACAAGAGAGTTCATCTGGTCCATTACTTCTCCACAGCAGAAACCAGATGTCTTTACAAACATCTGTTTAAGAGACTACTTTTGCTGGGCAGTGGTGCCGCACACCTTTAATCCGAGCACTTGGGAGGCAGAGGCAGGTGGATCTCTGTGAGTTTGGGGCCAGCCTGGTCTACAGAGTGAGGTCTAGGACAGCCAAGGCTACACAGAGAAACCCTGTCTTGAAAAACCAAAACCAGCCGGGCGGTGGTGGCGCACGCCTTTAATCCCAGCACTCGGGAGGCAGAGCCAGGCGGATCTCTGTGAGTTCGAGGCCAGCCTGGACTACCAAGTGAGTCCCAGGAAAGGCACAAAGCTACACAGAGAAACCCTGTCTCCAAAAACCAAAAAAAAAAAAAAGAAAAGAAAAGAAAAACCAAAACCAACCAACCAAACAAACAAACAAAGACTACTTTTTGTAGTGATTCATATACAATGAACACAACTTCCTCACAAAATCACTTGAGTAGGATCACACTAATTACACTCTTAAAATCATCAGTGTGAACTTATTCAGGGTATCCTTTTGTTAGAATTCTTTAGTGGTCAGTGGGTTGTCCTTTTCTGATGAGATCTTTGGCTCACTTGCTATAGTAGCTTTTCTCCTGTTTAATACTTGTGACTTCTCACTGAAAGCTCCAGCACTATCTCTAGCAGTACTGAAAACATTGTTACCTTGACAAGTTATCCAAGGGGCAGTAAGTTGTGTCGTCTGGGAAAACTACTTTTCATATTGTCTGCCTCTACAAAAACTCTCTTTTCTGTGATTCCCAACTCCCAAAGTTTTTTCATGATGGTCTTGATAGGAGACTCTTCTATGTATTCTTAAGAAGAGTTAAGAGGACATCTGATAGCATCTATCCAAGTCCCTTGCATTTATATGGCTTCTATTTATGATGAGATGTGACTTCCTGAGACATTTAGTACCACATTGTTTGCACCCATAGTTTTTAGTCCCTTGTATGAATATTTTGATGCCTCATAAGATGTGATTTTCTAGTGAAAGATTCCCACATTCACCACAATTATAGGGTCTCTCTCCTGTATGGATTCTCCGATGAAGCATAAGCTGTGGCTTATCAAAGAAAGCTTTTTCACAATCACTGCATTTATAGGTCTTCTCTCCTGTATGATTTCTCTGATGCTTAATGAGCTGCACTTTTTGAACAAATGCTTTCCCACACTCACTGCATTCATAGGGTTTCTCACCTGCATGAATTCTCTGATGTCGAAGGAGCTGTGTTTTCCATGCAAACGCTTTCCCACAGTCACTACATTCAAAAGGCTTTTCTCCAGTGTGGGTTCTCTGGTGATGAATAAGGCTTGACTTCTCACTGAAGGTTTTCCCACATTCACTGCATTCACAGGGTTTCTCACCTGTATGTATCCTCTGATGTGATACCACGCTTGACTTCTGGGAGAAGGCCCTTCGACACTCACTGCATTTATAGGATTTCTCCCCAGTGTGAGTTCTCTGATGTGTTAGGAGTTGTGACTTTCCAAAGAATGCTTTTCCACTCTCACATCTATAAGGTTTCTCTCCTAAGTGACTTTTTTGATCTTATTAGCTCTGACTTTTTGAAAAAGGCTTCTTCACAATTACAACATTGATAGTTCTTCTCTCCTGTATGAGTCATCTGATGTTTAATAAGTTCTGATGAAGGCCTCACTGTGTTCACTGCATCCATATGGTTTCTCTCCTGTGTGAGTCCTTTGATGCCTAATGAGAAGGGAGTTCCTGTTGAACGCATTTTTACATTCACTACATACATAAGGATTCTTCCCTCTATGTGATCTCTGCTGAGGAATAAATTCTGAATTCCAAAGGAAAGCTTTTCCACAATCACTACATTTATAGGGTTTTTCTCTTTTATGTGTTCTTTGATGAGTGATAAGTTTCAGTTTCTGAGAGAAAGCTTTCCCACAATCCTTGCAACCATAAGGTTTATTTATTGTATGAATTATCTCGTCTTTTTTGCTGTGTTTTTCTGCTTAAGGTTTTTCTGCATACACTACTAGAAGCATTGTGCTTCTTTCCAGTATGGATTCTCTGATGCTGAATGAGCTGAATGAGTAGCTTTCCTACTGAAAGCCTTCTGACATTCACTGGAACTATATGGTTTTTCTACTGAGTGAGTCCTTTGGTTAAAAGCGAGCAGTGACTTTTGTGCAAGTTTCCCCACATCCAATGGGCTTCTCCTTTGTATTTCTCTGGTGTATAGTAAGCTGTGATTTCTTGTTAAAAATTTTACCACATTCCATACATAAATAGACTCTTGACTTTGTTATATGATTTGGAATGAGCCATGACTCTTTACTGCTAGTTTTTATACATTTATTAAAATCGTGGTATTTTACTTCACCATAGGTTCTGTCAGATTTTAGATAAAATAATAATTACATACTGACCTTGATTTTTTTCTTCCAGATTTATTTTTTGGAACAAAAAAATCAGAAGGATGTTTTAGACTTTTTTCACGTGTGCCACATTTATGAAGTCTCATTTCTACTTTTTTTTTTTTTTTTTTTTTTTTTGGTTTTCCGAGAAAGGGTTTCTCTGTGTAGCTTTGCGCCTTTTCCTGGAACTCACTTGGTAGCCCAGGCTGGCCTCGAACTCACAGAGATCTGCCTGGATCTGCCTCCCGAGTGCTGGGATTAAAGGCATGCGCCACCACCGCCCGGCCCAAAGTTTCATTTCTAAACAAAGTTCATGCTTGACTGAATATTTCCTCCAAAACATCATTTCCATAGCCTCTCCCCATTCTTTTAAGCTTGTCTTGCTTATTTTGAGGAGATAGTTCAGAATAACTTTCTAGCCAGATTTCTAAAAAGGAAAAAAAAAAAAGAACCACACTGTATAATTTCTTCAATGATTATACTTACAAATAAAGCTTCTGAAATAGAGCCTACTATCCTGGGGAGAAGGTTAGCCCTCAAATAATGTACCCTAATTAGGCTAATTTATTTTTGTTTTTTGGAAACAGTTTTACTATGTGTCCCACACAACCCTCCAACTCAAAATCCTACAGACCCATTCTCCCAAATACTAGAACTCCAGGCATTTGTCTTGGATACTGAAACATGAAATTGAAATTTTAATGTAGTAGGAAATTTAGAAGAGCCACAGTACCTGGCATTTACTCGAGAGTGATGGCCACCTAGGCTGTGAAGTAATCTTTTATAAATATCAGTGATTGTTATCTGAGATTTATGGGGTTGCTTTTCCTTTGGGGGCTTCAAAATCTTTACATGACCTCATTTACAAGGCATTCTTGACAAACCAGAGTTGCTTATGTGATGAGCTCCTTCAGACAACTCCTAGATCAGATTAAAGGCTCTGTTATTCAGAAATTGACTTTCTAAAAGTTGTTTTGCATAACTGAAAGACCCTAGCCCTTCAGGCTTACACCCCCAAGCCTCAGAAAGAGAGAAACTTCAAGCACCAGGAAATGAGAAACTAAAAATCTAGTTCCAAGGGCCACCTGACTCAGCCACTACTCAATCACCCCTGTAACAATGTAAAAAGATTTCTGTTAAGAGATGTGTTCAACTGTGACTGGGAAAGTTGCAAAAGTTCCAGGAAGGACCACCGTGACCTGTATGCGAACTCCACTCCCACCCTGATACCCCCCTTGAGGTTTACGTAACTGTACCCCCTCTGTGATCACTCTGTGATCAGACCATGTTCTTGTGAAACGAAATTGTATGGGAACTGTAATCTTATGGCTTTTGTGGGTTTTTCCTTTAAAAGCACCCATGTGTCTACAGTAAGATGTGGCTCTTGCTCTTAGGAGCAGAGTTTGCCCTTCTATATAGAAGCTTAATAAATCCTCGTGCTGTTGCATCAACTGGACTGGAGTCTGGGTTCTTGGGGCGCCCACTTGAGACCCTAAACTTTGGGGTCCAACATAACAATCAATAAATGCAAAGCTGCAGGATGTAGTAAGGCTTCTCAGCAGCAGGAAGGACTGAGACTTATTACATCCTGCAGTGTCTCTCTTAGTTCACCAACATTTTAAATTACAAATGTAATAAATATTCACTAACCTGTGATTTTTCAAGTATATATCCAGAATTTAGATACAAAAGGTCATAGTGTATGCCTTTAATCCCAGCACTCGGGAGGCAGAGCCATGTGAATCTCTGTGAGTTCAAGGCCAGCCTGTTCTACAGAGCAAGATCCAGGACAGGCACCAAAACTACACAGAGAAACCCTGTCTCAAAAAACAAAAACAAAAACAAACAAACAAACAAAAAACCAGGTCATAGAAGGCAGGTAATTACCTAAACAAAATATACTGAAAACTAAGACTAAACAAATATAAAAGAAACATTAGAACACACTTTACTTTTGAATAATATAAAGGCAGAAACACTGGCCAAGACGTAAGCAACTACAGGCTACCAACTTTATATCTGAAAGATGAGAAACATTAATTTTCCACACCATAGTTTCATTTAAAAAACTTTCAGTAGCTCGTTGTGGTGGCACACATCTTTAATCCCAGCACTTGGAAGGCAGAGGCAGGCAGATCTCTGTGCATTTAAGGCCAGTCTGGTCTACATAGCTAATTCCAGGTTAGCCAGAGCTACATAGTTGAGATCCTGTCTCAAAAAAAAAATAATAAAATAAATGAATAAAAGAAGGAAGAAAACAATCTCAGAGTCTGCAAGATGACTTAGTGAGTAAAGGCACCTGAGTCCAATCCCTAGGGCCCACATGGCAGAAGTAGAGAACACACACACAAAATAAAGATGAAAAATCCTTTTTTTTTTTTTTTTTTGGTTTTTCGAGACAGGGTTTCTCTGTGTAGCTTTGCACCTCTCCTGGAACTCACTTGGCAGCCCAGGCTGGCCTCAAACTCACAGAGATCTGCCTGGCTCTGCCTCCCGAGTGCTGGGATTAAAGGCGTGCGCCACCACCGCCTGGCGAAAAATCCTTTAAAATTATCTCTCTTAATATCATCAACTGAATCACTGACATTGGTAACTTGACCATCATTAAAACAATGTTTTTGTCCACGTGGTGGTGGCGGCGGCGGCGGCGGCGGCGGCGGCGGCGGCGGCGGCGGCGGCGGCGGCGGCGGCGGCGCACACCTTTAATCCCAGCACTTGAGAAGCAGAGGCAGGCGGATTTCTGTGAGTTTGAGACCACCGTGGTCTACAAAGTGATTTCCAGGACAGCCAGCGCTGTTACACAGAGAAGCCTTGTCTCGAAAAACTAAAACAAAACAAAAAATTGTGTTACATTTATTTATTTGTGTGTGTGTGTGCGTGTGTGTGTGCACATGTGTGTGCACACATATATGTTTGGAAATCAGAGGACAACTCAGGGAGTCAGTTATTTCCCCCTACCATGTAAGTTCAGAAATCAAACTCAGGGTGTCATGCTTGGTTGCAAGTGCATTTATTGACTGATCCATCTCACCAACACTTTCTTTTGGCTTTTTGAGACAGTTTCATTCTGTAGATCAAGCTGGGCTTGAACTTGCGGTACTCTTTCTGTCTCAGCCTCTCAAGTTTACTTTAATCACAGTTTGACATTTATCCCTTTTCAATTGAGCAAATAATTGAACCCATAAACAAATACAATTAATCTATATATAATACTAAAAAATATGAATTGCAAACCATAAGAATGCTTTATATAACTATAGAGTGGGCAGATCATAAATTCAAGGTTATTCTTGAAGACTTAAGAAACTTGAGTTGAGGACAGCCTGGAAGACCCTATTCAAAGAAAAAAATATTTGTGTAATATTAGGATAATATTTTGCCTTTTAAGTGCAATCATTTCTGGTTTCCACATGATGATTTATTAAATTTTTTTATTTGATTGGTTTTTCTGTACTTTTGCTTGTTTTCTGGTAATGGGAATTGAACCAAAGGCCTTGTGCAAGTTAGGAAATTGATCTACTATAGAGCTATACTCCCAAATATTCTTTCATTCTTTAAAGATCAATTTTATTAATTATGTATATGGGTATGTCTAAGTGTGGGTATAGGCATATAGGTGCAGGTACCCATGGAAGGCAGAGGCATGTGATTGTCTGACCTGGAGTTATAGGTAGTTGTGAGCCTCCCAACATGGATGCAGGGAACTGAACTCGGATCCTCTGGAAGAGTAGTAAGCACTCTTAACTGCTGAGCCATCTGTCCAGTCCTGTCTGTTTATTTTTTTGAGAAAAGAACTCACTGTGTATTCTAGGCTTGCCTCAAACTTGTTTTATATACCCTGGACTCAAATGCACTATGAAGGCTAGACTAGATTCCAACTCACTGTTCTCCTGTCTCTACTTCATAGATGCTAAGATTAGAAGCATGTGCTACCACTTGTGGCTTTGCTGAATATTTTGAACAGGATTTTATTGAATATTTTATTTATTTATTTATTTGTTTGTTTGTTTGTTATGAGACGGGGTCTCTCTGTATAGCCTGAGCTGCCTTGGAACTTCTCTGTAGACTAGGCTGGTCTCAAACTCACAGAGATCCACCTATTTCTTCCTCCTAAGTCCTGGAATTAAAGATGTGTGCCATCACATATGGTGATATTTTATTTGTGCTGAAATGTGATTTTATTTGTATATTAATAAATAAAGTTGCCTGGGGGTCGGAGCTAACAACAAGTCATTTAGCAGAAATCTGGCAGTGGTAGCACACGCCCTTAATCCTGATCACATGACAGGCAGATCTCTGTGTGTTCAAGGACACCACCAGCATGGAGACAAACGCCTTTAATCTCAATACCAACCATAGAGACCTGGAGGTCTGTATAGACAGGCAGTGACGAGGAGGTCATGTGGTGGGGTTTACAACCACTGAGAAAGCAGAACAGAAAGTCAATAAAAAGACAGACACACAGAAAGTAGGTCTCTTTCTGAGGGGAAGTGTGACAGCGACAGTGAGGGGCAAGAAGGCGGTCTTGGTCTTAGCTCTTGGCTGCAGCTCTGACCTCTTGGGCTTTTAACTCTGCATTTGTTTCTTATTTAATAAAAACATTCAGAACTACATCTACAACCACATCTTTTTTGAATATTTTAAAGTGATATTGTAGATCACTATTCTCTGAGCATAACAGCCAATATCACTTTCATCAAATCAGTTGAGCTCATCACTGAAGATGGTTGTGTTGGTTAGTTTTTTTGTCTACTCGACACAAGCTAAAGTCATCTGAGAAGAGGAAACCTCAATTGAGAAAAATGCCCCATCCTATTTGCCTTTAGGCAAGGTTGTGGGACATTTTCTTGATTGATGATTGATGTGGGAAGGCCCAGCCCACTGTGGGCAGTGCCATCCTTGGGCAAGTGGTCCTGGGTATGTAAGAAAAAAAATTGAGCAAACCAGGACGAACAAGCCAATAAGCAGCATTTTCCATGGTTTCTACTTCAGTTCCATCACGGAAGATTCAGCAGGATCTCAAATAAAAAAGCAATTCTTCTTTTTTTTTTTCAGGGATAAATGTTTTGGAAGGGAATAAAGGTATTATCTAACTATCAAATATTAGAATTTGAGAGAAGGGACCAACAAGTGTTGCTGATTTGAAGGAGAATGAAATGAAGGCTTGGTGTTTCATGAATAGATATGAAGGACAATAAAATCTGGAGATTTTTTTGGGGGGGGGGCGTTTCTAGACTTTTTCTCTGTATAGCCTTGGCTGTCCTGTAACTTGTCTGCCTGCCTCTGCCTCCCAAGTGCTGGGATTAAAGGTGTGCACTATCACTATCTGGTTTAAGTCTGGAGATTAAAAGCAAGAATCACAAGATAAAATCAGAGTCTGCATGCAGAATTTGTAGCAAGTTATTTTACGAAAAGTGAGAGAAAAAACATAGTAATTTTGTGTTTTGTGGGTTTTTTTGAGCCAAGGTCTCATTTGGCCCAGGCTAGCATAAAAGTCACTGTGTAGCTGAGGATAGCCTTGAACTCCTTATCCTCCTGCCTCCACTTCCTAAGTGGTGGGAATAAAGGCATATACTACTATGCCCAGACTCAAAGACTGTAAAATAGCAATAAGGTGCTGGAGAGATGGCTCAATGATTAAAAACACTCGTTGCTCTTGCAGAAGGTTTGGTTTCCAGTACCCACGTGGTGCCTCACAATAATTCATAGCTTCAGTTCCAGGGGATCTGATACCTTCTGACCTCCTTGAGCACCTGGTACACACATGGTGCATATATACACATTCAGGCAAAATACTCACAAATATAAAATAAATAAATCTACAAATCTAAAAAATAAGACCACAGAATATGTTTATTTAATCCCAGCTACTCAGGAGCCTTGCAAATTCAAATCCAGTCCAGGCAACTTAGTGAGACGGTATCTTAAAATATAGTTTAAAAAAAAAAAAGAGCTAGAAGCCAGGCACAGTGGTACATGCTTTTAATCCCAGCACTCAGGAGGCAGAGTCAGGAGGATCTCTATGAGTTCAAGGTCAACTTGGTCTATAAAACAAGTTCTAGAACCGCCAGAGCTACATACTAAGACTCTGTCTAGAAAACAAACAAAAAAGAGGTTAGGATGTAGTTCAGTGGCAGAATACCTGCTCAGTATATACAAAATCCTAGCATTAAACCCTAGTACTGCAAACCTCATATGTATAAAAACCCTATTTCATCTAAACTAATGAAGTGTATTAAACAATAATGAGGTGATTGATTTATATATTTAAAGGTTTAGGAATAAAATTGTTGTTAAAAAAAAAACCTTAAACTACTCATGATAACTGATACCTATAATCCCAGCACTCTAGAGGCTGTGGTAGAAGAAATGCCATGTGTACCATGCTAGTCTGAACTACACAGTGAATTGCAAGACACCCAGGGCTACAAATTGAGAATCTATGTAAGAAAATTGAAAATAACTTAAACTGGTTTGACTAAATTAGACTGTTGCTGCCACTGTGTGGGTACATGTATATTTCTGCACTTCGTTTCTGCCACACATTGGTGTACAAGATCCTTAGTTCTACCTACTTTTCCAAAATAACAGTCTACTTCCGGTCAAGCTTGTAATTCTGACTTCAACACAATATCTAGTAATCTTTTAAAATTCTGATAAATTCGGGGCTGGAGAGATGGCTCAGTGGTTAAGAGCACCGCCTGCTCTTCCAGAGGTCCTGAGTTCAATTCCCAGCAACCACATGGTGGCTCACAACCATCTGTGATGAGATCTGGTGCCCTCTTCTGGCCTGCAGGGACACATGCAGGCAGAATACTGTATAATAATAAATAAATAAATCTTTTTAAAAAAAAAAATTCTGATAAATTCAAAGTTTTATCATGATTTCCGGGCCTTTAGAGTCTTTTACTCTCAAATTATTATTACCATAATACTCTCAAATATTTAATTATAAAGATATTTTCTGCCCTGGGATCTTTGCCACTACAGTTGTCTCAAGATTTAGGAACTTTAAATACAACTTATGAACAACACTTCAAATGTACTCATCTGTCCTTAAAACTCTTGAGTCTTAATTTTCACCCTTTCTAATAATGTTTGTTATTTCTCACCTAAGAAGTTTTGACTTAGGATTCCTTCATCTGTTATCTGTGACTCTTCTTGGTCCAGCTTGACAGCTACATCAGGTTTGATGATTTGATAACCTGTCAATTAGAAGCAGGGAATTTGAGCCCAGTTGCTTAAGCTGAGAGATTCAAGCATAAAGAGCTTTTTATTATAAAGACCATGAAATATAGGAGCTGGAGAGATGGCTCAGTGGGTTAAGAGCATTTGCCTGGGTTCAGTTCCCAGCGCCTACATGGTGTTTCACAATCATTTGTAACTCCAGTTCCAGGGGATCCAACCCACATCTTCTGACATCTGTGGGCACCAGACATGTATGTTGTGCAAATGCTTTCATTTAGGCAAAACACATATGCACATAAAATAAATAAATCTGAAAAAAAAACCTTAAAGACTGTGACATAAAGCAGGTGACTAAAAAAGTCAACATATATAGAAATGTTATAGAAATGAAGAAATGTAAAATGTATATCCAAATCAGTACACACATCAGAGGGATGGTTACTATGTACACATTAAATTACAGCAGAAAGTCTCACCCAAGAAGACAAGGCTGCTGCAGTTCTCCAACATCACATCTCTATAAAAGCTCTTTTGAGGAGGGTTAAGCAGCTGCCACTCCTCCCATGAGAAGTCTACATCCACATCCTCAAATGATATCTGAAAAGCACAATCTCTGTTTGATGTGAAGTGATTATCATGGGGCCTTGCAGATTACAGGCTTGCTTCTCTATTTGTGGCAGACAGCCTCAGTGATCTCTGACTTCCACTATTGATGTTATGTATACTTTGCTTTCAAGCGTGAGCTGACCTCACCGACTACATACAGGACATAATGGGATGAAGTGATGGGATGCTACTTCACAGATTAGGTTATAAGAGAATATAACTTCCTTCTTGAAAGTTCTTTCTCTCCCTGGGAAAATCTGGCAGTAATACTGTTAAGTAACCTTATAGAAAGCCACATACAGCAAGAAACCAAGGCTCAAATATTCCTATGAGGATGTATAAACTAGATCATCTCCCTACTGTACCTTGGGATGACCTCAGTCCTTCTGAGCATCTGGATTTATGTGTTATTCAAGCCTCTGTTCCAGAACCAAAGAGGTAAGCGTCAGATAAACCACAGAAACTATAAGGTAAATGTTTCTTCTTATACACTGAGTGTTGGGACAATTAGTCACACAGGAATGAATAAACACTATGATATTGCCCCGCCTGTAGGGCTACAACGGGTTCTCGACCACCCTAAGGACGGAATGATAGAGACAGGAGATACAAGGAAACACACCAAGTCTAGATTCTGATCAAGGTGCAACTTTATTTTTCTCCAAGAGGGTTTATATAGTTTCTGCAGGGTTGGGGGAGCAAGAAGCTGTCATCTGCATAAGGTGGGGCAAGCTATCAGGATGTTTGTATAGGATGTTTACAGGGTGAAAGGGTCAAGGGCTCTGCCTCAATGTCCTGTTGCTAGGCAACCTGACTGTAAGATGATCTAGTTCCCTGTCTTATGGGGGGGGGTCTGTATTTTTCCACTAACTAGAGATTCTATCCTTGTCCCTGACATGATATACTAATTTTGAATTATACTTTCTAGAAGAAATAAAATGTTATTAAAATTTATATAATTGTGAGCTGGGTGAGTGATTCACATCTGTAATCCCAGGTACCAGGAAGGCTGCGGTTGGTAGCCAGCCTTGGCTACATAACAATACGGTCCCTGGCTGGCAGTGGTGGTCTATACAACAGCTCCAGGCCATCCAGGGTACATGGTGAGACCCATTCTCAAATCAACAAGAACAAAACAGACTGCTCCCCACAAAAAAAAAAGCATTACCTTATGAATTTACACATCTACATACCTATCCATTTAATGAGAAATTGAAGAAGGGTGTCTTTGTAAGTAAAGTAGTTCTTAAAGAAGGTTTCATTGGTATTTGAGTACAATTTTCAGCCAAGCAGAAATGCCTCACAGGAATGACCTCCAGCATGCCTGGCTTCTGCCTACTAAACATCAGGCATACCTCTCAGCCACCGACAAAATGAAGTTACATGAATATACTGACACTCTCTTCTTGTCAGAAGACACTCTCTTTCCTGTCAGAAAAAGTAGGCAGGCATCTTTTAGGTATCTTCTAAAATGAAAATATTGAATGACTAATGTTTCTATAGGAATTGAACAATACAATGCTGAGCAGAAAACAGTCATGTCAGATCACTAGCAAACAAAGCATTGTCAGTATGAAACAAGTATACATGGGGATGGGACAAAACAGGTTGCGAGCACTAGGTATGAGACACTGAGGTTAGGCAACCTTCAGAGAGAATACAAACAAGGAAGGCAGAGGAAGGAACATTCCAGGAAAGTTATGAAAAGACTACAGGAGCATAACACAGGTTGTGAGAGAATGGTGACAGGGACAATGTGGCTCTTAACTGGAAAGCTAAAGCCTGGAGCAAGCAGAGGCCAGCTTTTCCTGAACTTATGTAAATGTTTAAAATGCTAACACCAACAGGGGCAGAGGATACAGAAGAAAGGAGAAAGATTTAGAGCAAGCCCCAAGAAGAGAGACCTAATAGGACATCAAAGTTGCAACACCCAAGGTACAACTTTGTATTTGGATTAATAAAAAATAATATTAAGATATGTAGGGATGGAGTTCAGTGGCAGAATGCTTGTCCAACATGTGCCAAAGCCTATCACTAGCATTACAACAACAATAAACAAAATAAAATGTGTTCACATACATAGACATAATAAGATGTATTTAGATTTTGTAAAATTGTCACTCGAGAATCTGTGATAAGAAGATAGATTTTGGAAAAAAAAAAGAAGATAGATTTTGTTTTTTTGGTTTTTTTTGTTTTGTTTTTTAAAACAGAGTCTCTTTATGTAGTCCTGGCTGTCTTGGAACTCACTACGTAGATAAGGCTGGCCTCGAACTCATAGAGATCTGCCTGCCTCTGCTTCCTGAGTGCTGGGGTCAAAAGTGTGTGCCACCATGCCCAGCCAAGAAGGTAGATTTTATGTGGGTGTATGGACTAAGTCTCAGGATAGGTATATTTTGTAAAACAAAACAAAACCCCAATTGTTTTGTTTCCTCTCTTTTCTCCCTTTGAGACAGGATCTCTCTATGTAACCCCAGGTTGACCTGAGCTCATAATGCAGCCCATGCTAGCCTCAAACTTTTGGTCCTCTTGACCTTGCCTTTCAAATATGTTCTCAAAACAGAATTAGCTAGGGGTTAAGGGCTACATGAAGGTACAAGGGGTATCCTTTTACTAAGGATAATGGTAATAGTAATGATAATGGTCCTTGGTCTAAGTTAGACCCTCTCACAAACAAAACAAAGCAAAACCAGACAAAATCCAGACCACATTAAAAGCTCCAGGGCAGGAGCCCTATTAGCATAACTGCATAATTAATATCTGTTTTTACACTGCAAGTTCCCATTTCCATCTAGGACTAACTTCTGTGGGTATTCTGATCTCATTGATACTATCTCAGCCTGAAGACCTTCAAATCAGCTCCAACTTGCTGGCCACAACCTGGAGTCATAAATTAGTGCTAGGGACAAAGTATCCATACAGAACTTGGAAGCCTCCTCGCTCTCTATTGGGTTGAACAACTGTTTCCTGGTAATGTACCTGCTAAGATTCATTCAAGTCATGAAATTCAGGAATTCCTGATCTTCTTGCCTTATGAATCTCAGATGCTGGGATTACATGTATCAACTGTATCCATGGAAAGGTCATGGTCTTATGCCTTCTTGCATTCCTAACTTAGATGCTTTATTTCTGGTTTCTCTGAGTTCTTCTTCAGGGGCTCATATCACGATCTCCCTAGGACACTTGCCTTCAGTCTGATTCAGGACCCAGCACACTTCTCTACTCCCAGCCCTTCTCCAGTCCATATTCTAGGTCTATAAAACTGAAAGACTTTTGTTCAGAGCTCCTTCAGCAGTAAGTAGTGAGATATCCCCTCATTTGTGCTAATGGACCTTGCACAAGACCATTCTCGGGGGAGGTTGGGAAGTACTTCTTGGGTCTGCGTTCCTGTTTATTCCCTTGCAGAAGTGATAGAAGGCCTCAGGAAACCAGTGGTTTGCTGCTTTAACTTTAACTAACCACTTGTCACCTAAAGCTCATCTTGGTCAGCCCATCTGAGCTTTTACCATACAACAAGATCTCAAAAGAAGGAAAAGTCAACGTTATTGAATATTTATGTACACAGTAAAATTCTTAAAAGGAAAACCAGGGAGGAACGAACAACAGGTTTGATGTTAGCTAGGTGGTAAGAATTCCTTTTTCACAAACAAAAGAACAAATAACAAAACAATAAGTAGGGCAATGGTGGTGCATGCCTTTAATCCCAGCATTTGAAGGCAGAGGCAGAACAGATTCCAGGACAGCCAGGGCTGTTACACACACACACACACACACACACACACACACACACACACACACACACACACACACACACACACGTTGACAAAAAGTAACAAACCAAAAAACCCAGAAGAAATCCAACTGAGAGACTGTGAGTATCAGACGGAAGTCTGTAGACCTGCTAGATGACTAGTTCTCCTTTCTAAAACTATAGTCCAAACTAATGTATATTTAAGGCTCCTGTCTTACTGTCTTAGTTTCTACAAAACAGTGGTCCAAGTTTTGTTTTGTTTTGTTTTTTTCAAGTCAGGGTTTCTCTGTGTAACAGCCCTGGCTGTCCTGGAATTTGCTTTGTAGATCAGGCAGGCCTCGAACTCCAGAGATCCACCTGCCTCTGCCTCCTGAGTGCTGGGACTAAAGGTGTGCACTACCATGCCCAGCTGTTTCAAGTTCTTTAAATTCATATTCTAAGCATACATCAAGGAATTCGGTAAGAAACAGTCCTGGGAAATATGTTTGGTTATTACAGGGTTGCTATTTAGGACTTTGTTCACTAGACCACCTATTTAAATAGCTATTAAACAGTTTCATATTTTCTCTTATTATAATTCAAATCTATTTAGAGTCTAAAGTTAGACCTTTCCTGTTGTAGATTCATGCATGCCTCATCATTTCTATGAGGAAAAAACTACCATAGTATATAAACAAATAACTCAACTTTGACTTAGTCATCTTCTGCTATGCTTAAGAAATTCAATATGTCACAGCTTCTGTCTGTCCTGATTCCAGAGAGAAATCTCTGTTCAAAAGTCTGGAACCTAAGAATACATTCTTATTCCTGATTCCTCCCTTTGTTCGTCTCACAGGAACTATTTTATTCCTGAGAGTGGTAGCCTGTGGAGATAGCAGATATTTTAGTTAATGTCATTAGTTTGGAGGTGTAAATCTTGGTTTTCCCTTGCTGGGAACTCATAATTTAAAGCCTCAGACTAGATGTCACAAGTAGTGGGTATGAAAGAGGATGGAGTATGACATCCTGGCATGTCTCACCGATCCTTTCCACATCTGGGACAGGCCTGTATCACACTCCATCCTTAAGAACCTTGGCTCTGGGCTGGAGAGATGGCTCATTGGTTAAGAGCTCTTGCTTCTCTTCCAAAAGACCCAAGTTTAGTTTCTAGTAC